CCTCCTGTCGATGATTTCATGCAACGCGGTAATGTTGTAGGCACTTCAACCCTTGTCTGTATGCAAATGGTTCGGATGTGTGCAGTGCAAGATGCCAGCACCAGCCGCTCTCTAATACGGGAATACTCGGGAACGAGGTCTGCTTGAGATTCTGCAGCAGGCGACCGTGGATGTGGGCCACTGGAGGGTTGGGCGATGGCCCCAGTGGAGAACGCTCTCTGTTCTAACTGTAGATTAGCTTCAACCACTCGACCAAACTTTGTGGCGCCGTTCAAAGCATGATATAGTAACAACAACTCTCGATCACGCAGACAATTTACCTCCATATAGATGGGCTTTGGCCTATACTCCAGCAGTTAGCAATCACCGATTGCTAGATCTTGTATAGCATTCTGGTCTGGAGAAGCGTGCGCGCGTGTGACCGCACAGGCACTTCGGTCTTCAGCGCGATCGACATGCCGCCATGGACACACCACCTGCCAAACGCCATAAACCACTGGCTTGCGCGCGCTGTCGTAGGAGAAAGGTGAGAGAAGCATGCAAACGCACTCAGCGCCGATAGAGAGAAGCTGATACACCGGATGTAGCAAAAATGCGATGATCAGCGGCCTTGTGCTAATTGTGTGAGATCCGACGAAGAGTGTCGAGATGCGCAAACGCGATATGACTACTGGCCTCCCACCAGGTGAGTCAATGGAGTGCGTAGCCGGCAGGTATGGATGTTGACAGCTTAGCAGACCTCTTCTGCCACCGATTATGCCCGTAGCCACTCCGGCTGACGCAGGCACAGTGGAAGAGCGCTTATCGCGTTTAGAGGAGCAATCTCGCGCATATGATCACCGGGAGGGAGGTGTACAACTTGACCGCGAGTGCCCAAATCAAGGCTACGGCGTGTCATCGAGGCCACCGCACGCGGTTGCGTCAGAGTCGCAAGCACCCCTTTCACGAAGTGCGCCCGCCATTGGCCTCCTTGCCACTTTTGCTCGTTCCGAAGATGTTGAAATTGGTCCCTGCACTTCACCAGGGGTGAACACAGACCTTCACTTGCGACAGCAATCTAGATCAGAGCCGCAGCTTGATTTGAACACCGAGGGCCTACTCTTTGACATCTACTATGATAAAGTCCATACTAGGTATCCTTTCCTTAGGCTTGACATGTTGCGGAATCCGTCTCAAAGGCCGACGGAGCATTGGGTCGGCTACTTCCTAAATATGATCTTTTCGATTGGTTTGTTAGTGGGAAAGGACAGCCAGCTGAGCACTGGACATGATAGTCACCAGACATATCATCGCCTGGCTGTCACAAGATATCTTTCTCATGTCTTTGCTCAATCAGATCGTCTACTTCATATACAAGCCTATCTTCTATTGGCCCTGCATGCCATGTACTCACCCTCGACGGAGAGGATAATATCGATTGCTTCTGCAACAATGAGGTACTGCGTCATGGCACAACTTCACCTCGCTGAAGCCGAGCCGCCGCCTATCGACGTTGCTGCCAAAGTGCAGAGCCAAATACGCCGCCGAGTATTTTGGTCAGCATATGCGCTAGATCGGACCGTGGGGACCATATTCGATCTGCCGTTTTCTATTCCAGACTATCAAATCACTGTCAAGATGTATGCGAATATCGATGAGTCTGAGCTAGCTCAGAAATGCCTGGCGGCCTTTCCGGACGACCCTCAAGGACAACCTTGTCATACCAGCGTATCGGTGGCTCTGCATGTTGTGTATTGCCGCCAGATTCAGTCCGAGATTCTCAACACGACGCTGCACCGCGAGTTCGGCAAGAGATTGGATCGCCTGTCCAATTGGCGACTTCGTGTTTTAGATAAACTGGACCGATGGAAGTCGTTATGTCACAGATACTCCGATATATCCTCAAGCTCGCACACGAGTAGCGAGTGGCTACACATGATCTACAACTACAGTCTGGCTATGCTCTACAGGCCTACCAAGCTCAATATCGCCGGTGGGGCTGGAGACTGGACCGTGAAGTCTTGCATACAAGCCATTTTGATATTCCGGAAATTCCAGAGAGAAACCATGTTAAGCGAACTTTGGCTGGGTCTCATTGCCCAGTTCAAATGTGGAGTTGCTTTACTGTATTGTTTCTTTGCTACCCCAAAGTCTCAGAGGTCCGAAGCCTATGAGACGCCCGAGGCATCCGAGGCTGTGAGGGCTTGCAGCATTATATTGGCCCTTCTGGCAGAACGCTGGCCGCTGTCGAAACCCTTAAGGGACTCATTCGACATCCTTGCCCGTGAGATACCACTATTTTCACATCCTGAGCTGGCTCGACAGAGCAAATCGGTACGAAAGATGCGCCAAGAGTCAGCTGATGCCTTGTTATCCATCTTGCCAACATTGGAGACTCTTGTTGTGCACAGAGACACTCTGCGTATGATTAGAGAAATGACCTCGGATGAATTTACGTCAATGTCTGACCAAGAGACTGCTACGAAGTTGGACACTGAGGCGCCACCCGGGGCTAATGGCATTGATGAAGACATTCAGTCTTCTAGTTGGCGTACGTCAATGACAGGCGATCTCTTCCAGCCCGTTACACCGCATTTCTTCACGCCCGATTATTCTCACATAGATTCTGGTGATTACGACTACGCGGCGCTAGGATTTCCCGGCGGTTTCGATCCGGGCCTCCCCTTTTAGGTATAATATCCAGACAATGAATTGAGGTTCAGATCAATTACATCTTTGAAGTATGGTAGCAGTTATATAGCCGCCAAATTGACCTGCTGGCGAGCCTATTACCTGCTTCGAACCGCCATCTTCTTTGTATATCGAGAACATAGAGAGCGGACTGGGGTGGTTCCTCGCTCACGTCAAAATGTTTTGATAAGCTGGCTTGATGAGTTGGCAATGCTGGCCATTCTGGCCCACTTTGTATTGACCCATGTCTTCAACGATTTCGGGACTATTGTCTTGGCTGGCTGAACTGGATGGGTAGCATAGTATTATTCTTATCAACTTTCGGGGTGGGTCGCGGATTGATCCCTAGCCCCCGACGCTAGGCCCAAAGCCCGAAGTGATCCTTGAAGGTCATGGTTACCGTCCGTCGATACATCAACTAGTGGAACAATTGTCATTTATAGTGCTTTACGTGGGATGACTGATGTGATAGGAGTTTGATAGAAAGGTTACCTTTAGCTGCGAGGAGCTGGGACTACGGCGCTTGCTTTTGTTTACGCCCACACGGTTTTGGGACAGCATAGTCGCCATGGACGTACCACTTTCGAAGCCTCTGATTAATCTACAGCTTGGGTGGCCATCACCGAGGCTGTTTGCTGCGGATGGGCTCCTAGAGGGCGCTCAGTCAGTACTGACTTCCAACTCTGAGACCGCAGCGGCCCTAGTCTACGGGCCACACGTAGGACATCCTCCGCTTCGTGAGAGCATCGCCGATTGGCTTTCCACAATTTATCGGCCTGATGCTGGACCTGTCACTTACGATAGAATATGCGTGACCAATGGAGCATCTGGCAATCTGGCAAATATCCTACAGAAGTTTACAGACCCCTCTTATACGCGCAAAATCTATATGGTTGAGCCGACCTATTTCCTAGCTTGTCCAATCTTCGAGGATAGTGGCTTCCAGGGAAAATTATGCGGAGTTCCAGAGAACAATGCTGATGGGTTGGATCTCGACTTTCTTCGACAAGAATTGGTTTCGACTGAAAAAGGTGTTTCTCAGTTCGCCGGTGAAGATGGGAAGTCGGATGCTCCGCGTATGAAAACGGGTCCTAATTATCCGAAGATCTACAAATACATCATCTACATCGTTCCAACCTTTGCAAATCCAAGCGGCAAAACACTGCCATTTAAGGTGCGGTCAGATCTCGTCAAACTAGCGCGAAACTTTGATGCACTGATAATATCCGACGACGTATATGATTTTCTCATTTGGCCTGAGGATCCGTCCGCAACGACTAGCGATGTGATTGACGTGCCCCCTCGATTGGTCGATATTGACCGGACCTTACCTGGGGAAAGTGAATTTGGAAACACACTGAGCAATGGATCGTTCTCGAAAGTGATAGGGCCAGGTGTACGGGTGGGCTGGGCAGAATGCACGCCCACCCTGGCAACACATTTGGCAGAAGTGTGAGTACGAGAGCCCTCAAAGTCAAATTTGACGTGTTGTAATGCTGATGTAAGTAACGATAGAGGATCGTCAAGCTCAGGTGGCCAGCCATCTCATCTTGCATCCACATTTGTAGATAAGATGCTGAGATCCGGATATTTGCAGAACCACATTCGAGATGTACTAATTCCCACATATCGAAAGCGCTGCCACGTCCTGATGACAGCAATACATGACCTCCTTTATCCATTGGGGGTTACGATTGAAATCAATAGGCGCGAAAAAGGAACAACAGCAGTCGCTGGCGGTTTCTTCACATATTTACGCCTTCCACGAGATATACCTACTGCAAAAACGGTAGCTGCCTTTGCTTTAAGGGAACAGTCACTTAGAATTGCGTTCGGGCATATGTTCACAGTTGCTGGCGATCCATCGAGTATCACGAGAGCGGAAACTGAGCATGGATTTGCCAGATGTATTCGGCTGTGCTGGGCGTGGCATGAAGAACCTGAATTACAGGAAGGCATTGCAAGACTCGCAGCCGCCATTGTAGATATCCGGGCAAGGACGGAAAGAGGAGAAGATGTAGGCAGTCAGCTAGCAATTGGCATCCGGTGATTCTGGCATGGCGAATACATTACAAAATAAATCTGCTTAAAGCTGCCTTTCTTCCAAGACTAGAGATTGACACAGGTACCTGTGTGCTTGTGTAAATGAGGGAAAGAGAGAGATACAACGCAACGCGTGTCTTTCGACCTGAACTGTGCCACATGGCATAAGTAGCGAATTTCTGATTGCTAAACTCTATTTTCAACTGCGCATACCGAATGATTGCGAACGATATGATGTCTCCTCAGAGATATTGCCATTAAATATAAGACTGTTCAACTCAGATACACTACAATCTTGTCGATATTTCATTCATCGAGGCAGCTTGTTTAGCCATGCCCGCCAGCAAGAGTGCCAGATCCCGTCCGGCCATGGCGAACCTGGTACAAGTTAGAAGTTTTCCAGAATACGTTTAACAACCATTAGCAAATACACACCTTATAGAGTTATGGCGCTTCGCAAATGTTTCTAACAAGTCAGGACGTGGCTCCAAACCACCAAGTCCTACAAAGACTTGACTGTCACTGTGGCTGGCTTTCTCCGCGGCTGCGGCAATGCGCGCAACAGTTGAGTGAAAGAGCTCAGAGTCATATTGTCCAGGAATTCCAAGCCTAGATGCGATCAGACCCAAATTTGTGACGATAGGTACAAGATGGAAACTTACTCCATACACAGATCTGCACAGCCAATCAAAAGTGCGTCGATGCCAGATACAGCTGCAATGGCCCTGTATCACTATTAGCTGACATCAAACTAGCCGACAGACATGAAAACCCGTCGGATTACTGCCTGGAGCCCAACAACTTACTCAACATTCTCGACACCGTCGGTTGTCTCTATCATAGGCATGATCATAACCTCCTCGTTCACTACCTCAGCGATTGTCGCATACGACAACTGGGTTGTATATTGCGTCATTGGCTGTACCATTGTCACGGAACGGTGGCCCTAAATCACGACATTAGCACCTGGGGAATTTATTAATCGCCTCACGACACTACTGAGGTATATTCAGCGTAGATTTCTTACCAATGGTGGGAATTTCGAAGCATTAACACACATTTTGGCCTGTTCAACGTTATTGACATGCGGCACGATTATGGCTTGTGCCCCTGAGTCTAGACAACGACTGATCCATTCTGGGGCGCAGGTTGGTACAACGACCATTGGAGTGATTCTAGCCGGGATGTCAGAATTATGGACTGCTATCAAAAATATTCGCGTACCCAACGTTTAGACAAGACACAGCAACATCTTTCATGGTTTCTATGCTCATTGCCATGTGCTCCAAATTCATAAGCACGGCAGAGTAGCCGGAACGTTTGGCGACTAATGGCATCTCTGTCGAGAAAGCAATGCGCATGCCAAATGAATGGGCGAGTTTGTTGTCAAGCATTAGACGCTTAACGAGATTCGGCCTGCATAGCTCGCGTGCGAGGGATAATTGTTCCGGCTGGCCGATGGCATTCGTCATGATGAATGACTTGATCTGGTGGTCTATTCGTGATATTGTGTGTCAAAATTTCAGGCACGAATGGTGCTGTTCAAACTGTTGTTCTCTAAAAGATGTCGCTCTATTCGTAACAGCTGTGGTGCTTTACAGCAATGTGAAGGAGTAAAATTTTGAATTGTTTGGCTGCCCTGACAATCAATGACCGACCACTATTTCGTGGTACCTCGTCACTCACGAAAGCTCCTTAGGTACTTAAACACATTAAAGTAGCTATCGATAGCCTGATATTTGATGAAGTATCAATACATATGGACAGTTTGTCTAAAAGATCTGTATTCATTGAGGGTGTCTTGGTTTCGGGGATGATAAGCTTAGCTTGATATTCGGACTTCTTCCTATCCACCCCGACAATTCGGGGAGACGCCGATGCTCTTGATACCCCCGCACAACATACAAGCCTGGTAACGGAGACTGTGGACCAAGTTGATAACGACCGCCTTCGGGTTCTGCGCGGCAGTGCTGCAGTACGGTCTTGACCACCGGATATGGCTTACAGGACGATATACACGGACAAATGATGATTTTTCTCTATTCGATGTCGCCTGGTGGTCTGCTTTCGATGCAAGTGTTCCTCTTTATCTGTGTCTTCTGATAGAAGTGGAGCCTTAGCGATAAACATCAATCCTGGATATAATTAAAGAGCCCCCAACCTAAGGGAGAGCAAGTCACCTCTTTCCTTGATCCTGCTTTTCACTTGCCGAGCATCCCCGACTACTCTTGTCGTTCACAAGATTTCTCGCAAGTGTGTAGGACCAAGATGGATACGACAGGGCATATCTCCCGTGATGTGCCTGCACGACCAACATCCTCTACATACGCGCAGACACAAAAGATTCCGCTCGCAAAGAAGATTTTGTATCACCTGTGGGATGCAGATCAACACCTAAAAAGCCCCCAGGTGCGTTTCTCTCCAATGCAGCAGTACCAATTATGCTCTTACAAAGTATATCCAGGAGAGAGCATTGGTCCGAAAATTGGATTTCGGAATCCTCATTTGTGCAACCCTTGGCTGGTGGATGAAGTATATTGACCAAAGCAACGTCACGAACGCTTGTAAGATGTCTTGTTACTTCTCTCGAGTTGACATCACTGATATGGGCTGCCAGATGTTACTGGAATGAAAGAGGACTTGGACATACAAGGAAATGAGTATACCTACATGTTAAGTAAGTCTAGCATGGCCTCAAAGAGATTGCAAATGCATTGAAACATATTGACTTGAGTGTATTCAGTGTGCTACACAATATCCTTTGCAATTATGCAAATTCCCTCCAACATGATCGCCTTGAAAGTTCGCCCTCGCATTTGCTTAGTTGTTTGCGAATTAGGCTGGACTGCTTTTACGTATGAAGATCTTCCATTTCATGTTGTCTTGCATTGTATTGTCCTGAAAAGGAGGGTTTGGGCTAATTCATCGCCTAAGCTTCGCTCAAGCCGCCGCCCATAGCAGCACCCAAATGTACGTCTTTCGATTCATGGTCGGCTTCTTCGAGTCTGCGTTCTCGCCAATCATCATCTTTCTTCTTGGTTCGTGGTATACAAAGACAGAATTAGCGAAAAGGGTAGCTGTTTGGCATATCACTGGGTTCTTCGGTCAAGCCACCTCTGGCTTTCTTCAAGCTGGTATTCACGCCTCTCTGGATGGACACTTGGGACTGGCCGGCTGGAGGTGGTTATTCATCAGTCAGTAGATTTGGATTTCTCATGACACGCAGATCACGGCTGCTAACATGTTGTAGTCTGTGGGTGCATGTCTTTACCTGTTGCCCTTTCTGTCTGGGTACTCTTGCCAGATTATCCTCATAATACGAAGTCATGGTATATCACCGAGGAAGACAAAGAAATTGCGCTGCAACGAAGCGCGAGGTCAGGAAAAGCTGAGATTACAGGTATCCTGGACTTGAAACTGGTCAAGCGTATGTTCGGCAACTGGCGGTGGTGGGTATTGTGTATTAGTACGTCACCTCTCACCTTCCTCTCTCACTTCCGTAATTTTCGCATAAGAAAGAAGCTAACTTCGAACGTCGCAGTGTACATTTTTGTGAGTTTCTTCCGTGAGTTTTAATGGCCAACGTGAACGGGGGACTAATCTCGCGCCATCCAGTACGGCAACTCTTGTCAGGCAAACAGCTACTTTGCAATCTATCTCCGTATGTGTCGTCAAAGGTTTTCAAATGACTGACTCGCAAAGCTGATTATCAATATGACATAGGAGAGGCAGGCTACTCGGTGACCAAGAGAAATATCATCCCGGCCTGTGCGAACCTGGTCACTATGGTCACTGACTTTGCTTGGGGTTTTGGATCGGATCTGACTGGCAATCGGGCATGGTGGATCGCTGGGCCACTAGTAAGTTGGGGACGATCGACCTTTCAGACCATGAAGCCTTTAGTATGGAAGGCCAAAACGTGTACTGATGCTTGACTGTGCCAGATGTGTTTTACAGTGGTCGGGTCATCGATTCTCACCGCGTGGCCGGAAGCAGATGCCCCTAAAGTCGTTGCATTTTTCTTTGTTGCATGCGGTTATGTGACAGCAGTCACCTGGGTACGTTGCTCTACACCGTCACGATGCCTCAAGCTAATCTAGACTCGTGGTTAGACATGGGCCAATGAAATCAACAATGGGAATGCTGAAGAGCGTGCTCTGACCATCTCGAGCATGAATGGACTGTTCTATGCTACAAGTGAGTGTCAAGGACCACGGGTGGCCGCTACGCACTAACGTTGGGTAGATTCATTTCTACCCATTTTAATATTTCCTCAAACCATGGCACCAAAATTCGAGAGAGGCTTTCCCTCCATTCTCGCATTTGCACTCACTGCAGTGCTCCTAGTCCGTGAGTATTTCCCCTCGGGAAATTGTCTGTCGCTAGCAGTATGAGGGTATACTAATATAAGTGCTGATGCTGTTTAGTTCTGACGGACTATCTACACAAACGAGAGCTTCGGCGAGGGGCGGGCATCACGACCGGGCTGCCGCCATCAGAGGCCGCCGTGGCACACACAGAGACAAACAGCGAGAAGGACATTGACAACAAAGTGGCAGGGATCATTGAGCCTGTCCGTAGTTCTGTTGCTATCATGTAATTATTGGCGGTTGTGCTCAAGCTATCTGTCTGGGTGAGAAGGTGAGATGTCGGTATGTTTGGTTGCATGATTACCGGTAGTTGATGAGATTGGTACACTGAATAGGTATACACAATGCAAGATACAGGTCTGCGACCATCCATGATAGCGGGCAGTTCTAGATGTCTTCTAGTTAGAGTGATCCTGGATTGAGTTGAGGGCATAGCGCCCTCAACGGCACCTTCTGGTAAAGTGGCTTCAAGATATGCTTCTCGCCACGGTCCAATGCATCTTGAATCGATTTGATTAAACGAGTTATTGGCTATGACTTTTCAGCTTGAATCAGCCTTCTTCCAAAATCCGCCCCGGGCCGCTGCTTTGGCGACCAAGGGCGGGCTGGCTGCAAGCCGTCACCTAGTTGATTAATGCTCCGCCATGCTGAAATGGCGCCTAAGGCGTGTGTTATTCTCTGAGCGCAACTGGAAGTGCCCACTCGAACGTCATTGCACACGATCCTCAAAGACAACTCTCACAAAGCAGCATCACTGTTGCTCTTGTCCACTCGAACTGATCTTGGAGTTGAGCTCAAATTTGATAATTTGCACGTGAAGACTATACCAAAGGCACTCCAAAATTCCGGCTTGCTGGTCATTTCCAGTGGGCAAGGCACTGTACCGTACCGGTACCGTCGGGTTGGTTAGTGGAACAACTCAGCCGACAGATGGGCGGTGCTGTCCTACAGTCCAGCCACAACCTGAACATGGCCTTTTTTTTGGGGGAAGGGGGCGCCGGTTTGGTCTCAGACAACCTGACCACGATAGCCCCGTCTCGCGGTTGACGATAGTCACCGTAGTCGCGGACGGCTCCCTCTTTCTCCATGGGTATAAATTGCCGTTGAACTTCGTGATCTTGTGGACGTGCAATAGTGTGTAATACATCGAAGCCTGTAATAAGGAGCAGCAACTCCACCACGCCCCTGAACACAAATGGCGAATATCCTCGGCTGCTTGCTGATCTTCACACTCGGACTTCCCACCACAGCCTCGGCTTTCAACATTGTCGAGTGGCTAGAGAACCCTCCTTACGAGAACGGCGGAACGATCAAAGAGCAGATACAATGTTATGCTCTGCCTTTTGGCGGGATCGGCTTTGCCAGTCACGCTCTCACTTATTTCACGGTTCTCTGCCTCGCCACCGGCCACAATCCATTGATGCCCTGGAAGAGGCTGAAGCATAGAACATTCAACCTTATTATCGCATTTATCGGTCTTTTAATCACTCTGCCGCTGACAGTGTTGACTATGGTCCGTTGCCGTAACAGCTGGCAATTCATACTCATTGCCGTGTGGAAGCTTGTCCTGTCTGTCACACTGTCAATCATGTCAATTCATGCAGCTAGTCTCATCAAAAGCCTTCCTGTACGATCACTGCGAACAGAGCGTCGGACTCAGTCACAAGCATATGACAAGATGATTGCCAGTCCCTGCGTGACGCCATACTATGCAGGGTATGACGCTGGCGCAGATCATACGCCAATGCTTTACGAAAGATCCGGCTTAAACGATTCTGATCTCGACATCGAGGAGTGGAAGTTGCAATCTTTGCATCGTCAAGTCAAGGATGAGCTTGCATCGACCCACAAGCCGAAGTTCCACCGTATTCTTTGGTGGGCGGTTCCCTACTTCCTGGGAGCTATTGTAGGGTTCACGGGCATTATGGATATTGTGAAGAACAACTTTGGAGATAATTGGCAGCTGCGGACAATCACATACGTCTTCGCGGGGGTTAGTGGTGGTATACCAGCTGTCGTGGGTATATTCGCCCTTTGTGGGCTAACACTCTGCGACGATGACGATGACGGATGCTGCACCAACATGGTTGCTGTATTATTGTCAAGCTTTGGTCTTGTAATCTTTATGCTTACGATACTATTTGCATTCTACAGTGACTGGGTGTTGGCGGCTCTGACAGGGGACCTAGTCGGTTGGCCCTCATCAGACAATAGCCTGTTTTACTGGACCTATTTTGCTGCAAAAAGATTGCCAATGCTCTCTTTCTAAATGAGATTGCTGCTACGTGGGCAATTTGGCTGGTTAGACGCGACCCGAGACTCGGAGATTAAGACAGGAAATGGACGAACCAAAGGTGAAACACGAGTCTCGATCCCTTCGTGACGATGGCTTCAATCTAAGAGATACCTGGCTCTGTCTTGATTACTTTGATGCTCCAAAAATGTATATAGGATGCTAGATCTAGTCACAACTCCCGTTTTAGAACTCCGTATAGATGCGAACGAGTCTCCACCAAACCTCGATGAACACGGCGTCTTACCATTGCCATTTTACAAGCAGCAGTCTACAGCATATGACAATCCATCAGTGAATCACTCCTGGATAGGCATCGTCCTCCCTCTTAGACCGGCATCAACACCGAGTTCACTGCCCTCTTCCGCCTCTGTCAGCTTCAGGGCATCATGTACATCATCAACGAAATAGTCTTCTCCGCCAACGAGATCCACAATGCCACTGCGCTGCATTAGAGTCCAGACTGGGTGTTCTTTGTTCGGACCGCGACTGAAGAACACTCGAACACCCCTGTCAATGTAGCTACGAACTATTTCTTCTAACACTTGAGTTCCGGACCCATCCATGGAAGTCACACCGTGGATGTCGAAAATGACATTTCGATTGGAGTCTTCTCTTCTCAATCGGGGCAATGCTGGGTGTGCTTGACTTGTGCCGTAGAGTTCTAACCGGCGCAGTCGAGTTTTGAGCTCTCCGGTATTCGCAAACGTCAAGGGTTCAGGAATCTTCACAATCAGGCAGCCTTCAAAAAACTCTAGCCTATCAGGGTGCTCTTCCGCATTTTCAAAGCGGTGAGTACCAGGAATTCGCCCTAGAATTTGGATCCGCGGTCGAGTTGAGTGGCGGATCACGAGTAGCAGAGAGAGACCGATGCCAATGGCGATGCCAAGATTCAGCGAGTAGAAGATCGTGGCAAGAACGATGATCAGCATCAGCGCAAGCTCTGGCCAGGCGCGAATACGAGCAAAAAAGGTTATATCATGAGGGGCTTCTTCGATTAAAGACCAAGCTACCACACTGATCAATGAGGACAACACGGGTTTCTGGAAAAGGTTAGTAATCGAGCGTGACAGAATCTGAGACACCAGCACAATCGTTTGTCTATGTTATGTGAAGACGGGACGGGTTACAGCACATACCGGAAGGTAGTAGAAGTATGGCAGCACGAAGAAGATGGAGATCAATGTGATGAGAGAAAGGAAGATTGAGCTCATGGGCGTTTTGCCTCCTGTGGACTTGTTCACCTTGCTTCTTCCGTAGCCACCGAAGGCCGGGAGGCTCATGAAGCAGGCGCCGACGAAGTTGGCCGCACCCAATGCGACGAGCTCACGATTAGGGCTAAGCTGAATGCTAGGGAAGGTTTTGTCTCCCCCTAGACTCTTGGCCGCTACGGAAGACTCGAAAAAGCCAAGTAGGGCGATAAGAAAGGAGGTCCCCATAGCATCTCTGATGTGAGTCATGTGAGATATCTGGAAAGGCCATCGAAAAGTAAGCACATGACCGGAGGCGGCCTTGACAGACCCGAGGATCTCGACGCCTTTCTGATCCCACTCCAATGACCACGCGAGAATGGCAGACAGAACGACAACGATGAAGCGATCTGGGACATATGCCACCGCAGGATACCTTGGCTGCAATCGGCGTTTGATCTCTCTACGCTACATTAGTACTATGTCTTCACATGAAACAATTCGCGCCAGTACTCACCGGCAGACCATAATGATGACAAAACTGGCCGTGGCCACCGCAAAGGTAAGCCGGTGGACGTGGCTGATGTTGTTGAAGACGAACTTCAACTTGTCGACGCTGCTTCCATGGCCCACACCTGGCGTCTTGGAAGCTAGAGAGCTGAGTCCTAGCTCCGGAATTAGCTGGTCCACGAAGATCACAAAGCCAATAGCTGAGATGAATCCGCGCAAGAATGGCCGAGAGAGGACACTATCGAGGAAGCCCAAGCGGGCGAGTCCGGCGAGCAAGACGGTAGCACCAGCCATGCCGGTCACCACGCCGCATATCTTGGCATGGAGGACGGCATCGTCGTCCTCACCCCGACCAAGGTCGACACTTGATTTGACGACCGTGCCGACCAGCAAAGAACCTGCAGCCTCGGGGCCGACTACCATTTGCGGTGCGCTGCCTAGGATGGCGTACAGGAGAGGATTGAAGACGAAGGAATAGAGGCCGTTGATGGCCGGTACATGGGCCAGGTTATCGGCAAGCGACAGAGCCATGGGCAAATACATGCCCGCAACGGTTAGAGCAGCAATGAAGTCGCCCTTAAGATAGGACCACTTGTACTCGCGCATCCAAACAACGGAGGGCACATAGTAGGATATATACCTAACAAGAAATAGAAGTTCAGCCTTGGCATGACAAGCCGGTATTTTCAAGGGCCGCTGTTGGGCGAATGGAGACAACTCACATGATGGTGCTATCCTTGAGGCCGTGGCGTTCCGCGAGAGCACTTGAGGTACTCATCTTTTTACTCTTTATTCTGGATGCCCACTTCCTCTTCCAGTCGTGCCGATTCCCGGTCACGGCAGCCAGAACGCCGTTGATGGTGGGCAAGGAGCTCTCGGAGGAAGCCCCTGGTGATGGGCTCCTGGCACCATCGGTGCCATCTACACTCTGTGTTGGGCTCGACGGTCGAGGGGAGAAGGTGCCGTGATTGCAGGGACCATCGTGTACATGCTCCCGCATATCTACCACCCCCCGGAGCAGTGATGTTGACTCTGTTGGCGCAGCAGAAGATTGATTGCGCGCGGAGGGGCCAGCCAGATCGAGGGACAGGTCGGACATAGAAGAAGGGTCGTTGATGTGGGTACGGACAGGAGACGATTTCGGGGAGCGGTCGAGACTATCAGGGCTGTCGGGGGTGTCGTTAACGAGGGTTTCGGGAGACGCAACAGGGCTGGTCAGTGTAAAGGTCTGCCGTAGACCGCTCGGTGTCGAGGGCGCATGGCCAGACGTGCTTGAGCGGCCCGTAATGGAGGGTCGGGGGCCGCCGGCCATGGTTGTCGTCTATCGCACGGTCAAGGCTCGTGGATGCATGTGGAGGTGGGGGAGCAAGCGTGTCGAGGATAGATGTGCTAGACTTCTTTCTGGGGAGTCAGCAATGCAATGCTCGTGACGAAGGCCCACGGAGAAACTGGGAAACCGGCCGGAAAGAAAGTGGGATTGGAGAGGGTGGGAATGGAACAGGGACGGGGACCCGAGAGCCGGGGACCGGAGCCGGGCCGGGGCTCGAGGTACTGGGACTGCGGGCATAAGCTTACCTACAGCTACTGCAGGTAAAAGAGGTCAAGGACGATAGATATATTAGAGGCTGCATCTGTCTGGGGCTGGACCCATCGAGTTGCCAAGGCGCCTTTCCGTCAGACTTGCTGATTGGGCCGTGGCAGATGGTGCGCAGAGAGATTTCGAAGGAATGCTAAGCTGAGCCTCTCTTCAAGTTGCGAGACGCAAACCGACGATGAATATGCAAGCCAAAGCAAGTCCCTTTCCCTATTTCTGCGAACTTAAGGCAGGCATAGGCAATGCAGATGGGGTTGGTAGAAGGCCTTGCCTGCTTGCCTTGGAAATGAAGGCAGGGAGACGCCCCAAGCTGCAGGTGGAGAGCAGCACACGCCAAATGTCAGGCCTCTCATTTGTCGGCTGTACGGTGACATAAGCTGTACCTATGTACCTATGTACCGCATTGCGCCAAGGTATCGAAATCTGCCAAGGCCCGAAAGGCGGACGCTAGGCTCCAAGGTACGGCGCTAATCCTTATGAGGCAGGCCCAGAGCGGGGTATGAACGTTAGCCCCGCATCTCACGTGCTCTCGTGGGGTTCTCGCGAGAGGAAGGGCATCGCTTGGGTCATGTGTTAGTTCCCTGATCTGGACCCTATTATTGACAGAACAGCTCTTCAAAGCTGAATAGATGCAGATAATCACTTCAATATTTGGTGTCTACTGATATGATTCTCCTTCTCATCTTTCTCAAGGCCTCGAGCAACCTCAAGGACTACCTTGACCCTAACATGGTTGTCATGGGGAACCACCTGGTAAGACGGGCCAACCCTCAGCCCGGATGCTCAGCCTTGACTCGTACCCAGCCAGGCAGAGCTGATGACGCAGGGAAGACGATGGTGGTACATGTGTACTGGCAGACCACTGGAGCTGGACTGCAGTGCTTTTCCTTATCTCACTGCTGCATACCTAGTATCGACGTAGCAGGCATCAGGATTCTACTCAGGTATTAAATCCATGGCCCCCTCCACTTCTCTTTCTTATAGTCTCTGCCCATGAAACCTCTGCCCTCTTCAATCTCACTCTCTCGTCCTGTCACTTTACCAGAACTTGACTTCAGAAAGCTTGTGATTGCAATCTTTTAAGTGCCAACTCCTCTCGCGCAAGGCGGTACATATATTACCGACGCCAACCCTCCAGATTGACATATTACACCGTCCTTCTTCCTGAGGTCTAGTTGGTGTGCCCCCCAGCAACATGCCTCGCAAGACATTTGTCTACGCCACGCATGACATTCCGCTCGAATGCGATGTCTACAGCAGCGGGGACGAGCCCAATAGTAACCCTGTCGTGCTTTTCTTCCATGCCGGCGGTCTGGTGGGCGGCGCGCGAACCTGCATACCGCCTTGGCTTGTTCAAGTAAGTACATAGGCACTCTGAGGAGCGAAATTGGACTTGAGAGTACATTTGGGCGATTCTTGAGGAGAAAATTCTTTTCATGACCACCGTCCACAATGACCTGGTGAACTACGTCTAACAAGTTACATGTCAGGTTTGCATTCAACGCCAGTGGCCGCTTCTGTCTGCTAGCTACCGCTTGCTTCCTCAGGTGGACGGGTCGGGGTTACTTCAAGATGCCCGAGCTGCATACCATTTTGCAAAGGAATTGAGCGGTTCGTCAACAAGGAGGGTAATTGTTGCTGGCGCCAGCGCAGGTCAGTTACTCCGTGGACACACTGGCTTGTATCTATTTGAGATTCCTCGTTCACATGGCCCAGTTGCATATGCAATATGCTACCCTCCATAACCAATCGACTGACGCTCGTATCGCATTATCTAGGGTTTTCTGTAGCTGTTCTAATAGCACATCATGTCAAGCCACCCCCTATTGCTCTTCTATGCATAACCGGCATTTCGACGTACCAACACCCCTTTTTCAATTCATCGACACTCATTACCCCCGAACCATTCAGGAAAGAGCAGTTGCAGAAATATCTGGACGAATCTGTCTCCGTAGGCGTTCAGCCTGAATCCGATGGCATGGTCTTCTCGCCTGGAATGATCACTTCAACCGGCGCCAAGAAGCCCGATTATGTGCGCCCGAAACCATCACCCGAGGATAGCCCTGAAGGTGAACTGTCCCGTGGCTGCTTATACGACTACTTTCTCTACAAGAATGAATTTCCATCATTAGTGGGTTCTGTTGATCCAGGATTTGAATGGGCCAGGCAAGACTCCGACAGTGAGAAGCTCAGCACATGGCCTAAAACTGTGTTCATACAAGGAGATGCCGACACCGACGTAGACATGGATGTTACTGTGCATGCAGCAGAGTGTCTGGGTTCTGAAAAGGCGGAACTCTGTATTGCAAAAGGCCAGCCGCATCTCTTTGAAGCCACCCAGTTCATTGAAGACCAGGGCGATGCCATGGACGTTGTTCGATCGGCTGTTCACGAACTTGATCTGGTAGTTGCGGAAACGTCTGCGTCATGATGCGTAACTTGGACTGAGTTTCTAGACTCTTTCAGATAGCATTGACTTTCGGCTCCAACTGACTCGTTTCTTCATCAACTCGCTACCAGGCTTGCGGTGATTGGACAGGTGTGACATATGTATTAGCCGTTGGCTCTTGGAAATAGTTCTGATCGTATCGTCTATAGACAACCGTATCTTAAATGCCTTCTAAATAATAAATTCGGCCGGGCTCCTGACATTCACCTGGTGTCCCTATAATCCTGCGACGAGTGCCATTATACTGCTATGATAACATTGGCTTTTTCGAACAATCCTGTCACAAAAGGCCATATTTAAGAGTCTAGACAATTACTAACTCTTGCCATGCCAAGCGTTAACCCCAAGCTTGCCTAAAGGGTATCTCGCTGTGTCCTAGCGTGCGCTATCCAGATTAGATGACAGTGCTGAGAAGGCTCACCGCCGAGATCTGTGACCCGAGTGTAGAATTCATAATTGGCCCCCTCCAATCTATACCATAGTAGTCTGTCGCATTACGGTCGTTCTGGACCATGGTCCTGGCATTGGTCACCAAATAAGAATGATATGGGTGATCGGCCAGCACTGCGTCGAGCTCGGCGAGGTTCCGAGCAAATATTCCCTTGAAATTGGCCTGGTCGGCGTTACAGCCGATCGCTGGATCGCATGGCTCGGTGAGGACGCCGTTCGGCGAGAGTGTTTCGCTGGATATTACTGCATCCGCAATCTCCCTTGCCTCGGCCAGATACGACGGCTCCCCCACAGCGCGAAACAGCTCGGTCAGCCCGCCGAGGATGACACCCTGGTTATACGTCCAAGTGGTCTGGCCGTTATTAAAGCAAGTCCCATTAGACTCTGCGAGGCCGTCGTTGATTAGATGATCTGCATTGATCATTCCGGAGCCCCTGAACCACTCCCAAGCCTGCAGGGCCCGCTCTAAATATATCCTGTCCCCTGGAATGCGGTTGTGTATCGACGCGGCTAGCTTGATATGTAACTCATTGCTGATCGCATTCTTGTAGCTTCGCGTCGGTATCTGCCAAGGAACACCTCCACCGCAGCTGCTGGTGTTCCAATAACTGTAGATGTACTCCTCGTCCAAGATGGCGTAGTCCAGGTATCTTTGGTTACCGGTGAGGTCGAAAGCGCGTACCATGGCCAACGCCCACCAGCCCGTATCATCTGTCGAGTCACTTCGAAATATACCTCCTCCTTCAGGATACCATGGCAGAGGCTCTTTCTGCTTTTCGATCGTGTTCAGGACCATGTCCATGTACTGCCGATTACCCGTTTTGTACATGAAATCCAAGATGGCCTGCAGCGCGTTTCCTGTGAGCCACCATGCGTCAACAGTCGACCATCTTCCATCTGTCAAGTTGTAGTAGCCGTTCATTGCATCGACAGCCGCGTGGGCGGTTTTGTAAGAAATTCCAGCAGTCCCATTGTCACTGGCAGCGACACATGTGCAAAAGGCAGCCAAGACCTGAAGCACGCCGACTAGAATGCGACGCATGATGGGCAAAGAATGATTTAGGTGCGAGAAATTCCCGACTTGTGAACTCGCGAACCGTGAGTGAGTAAACGCGTCATCGCGAAAGGCCAGAGTGAGGATGAGGTGCCGCTCTTTTTATATTCCACGGACGGAGTGTTGATATGGCAAGAGGTAAATATATCAGATACCTTGGTGGAAAGCAAGGAACCCACCAAACTTGCTTTCTCCGATGTTACAGTGTTACTGTGTTGACATGCAGGCAACGTGGCGCCGTTCCACGGCATTAGGTGGTAAGGGTCTTTCATAGGTCCCATGGTTTATCGTCGTTATGTCTTACCTCCCGGCCCGCATATAGACAAGGTCTCACTGAACCCCTGCCTAGTGCTCTTCCAATCAGCGACAAGAATCAAGGTGTGAATAGGGAAATGACGATAATCCTGTGTGCTACCTGATATGAAGCGACTGTCATGCTATAGTTCAGAAATCCGCTGGGATATTGCCTATTTTCGATGCAGCCACAACAACATCCAATTGCCCTTGTATGACTAGTGGGATCTATTCAGATAAACAGAAAGCAATCACAACTGTATTCCTGCCTGCCTAGTCAGCTTATGATGGCTTCATCAGGAAATAACATCTAGGGCATTCGGCAACTTTGCCACTCAATGCTAAGAAACTATCTTCAGTCGAGTTTTGAGCATGTGCAAAGCATTTGTGTTACCAGCCTTCGCATAATACTACTTCTACTTGTAATTTTCACAGACATTGCCGTCATAGCCCTCGAGTAATTCACCGAGGGCGGATACGATGTTTTTCTACAAAAAATCCAAACGCTTCCTGACAAGCCAGGCCAAATGCTGCGCCGGCGCCGAGGTATGATATGCAAAAGCCTCTGAACGGGAAGTGAGTTGTAGGTGTCTCGAATCAGGAAGATCAAGGTTGTGAATCTATTTTGTTCTAGAGTCGAAGCACGTATAGTATACATAACAGTCATTATATTTTCGTAATCTGATGGATATCGTTGTCGTCTTGAGATGACTTGTTGGCTTTAGCGAGCTTATCGCAGCTCGAGCCCTGTAGAAGCCTGTGCACTGATTGAGACCGGCAAAGGCCACTTTGTCGACGACTGCTTTGCAGTGATTTTCGATGTTCATGGCTGTACCCAGAAGCAGCATGCTTGGCCAGCCCGAGGATTGGGCTGCGGAAGGGCGTCGATTCGGCGCGGTGCCAGATGACAGCACATAGTGTCTTGTTGATAGTGATTGCAATTTGGGCGTATCTCCTCACCTGCCTGGACTTCTTGCGGAGATAACTCTGAAAGCGTGAATGCCAACTCAGTGCGCTCGCTCGTGTGGAAATAATGACTACACGTCGCCAAGACTGCTAGAGCTTTTGACAGATGTGTAGTACTACCTCGAACATTGCTAATGGCATGCGAATGCCGCCAAATTGACCGACCAGCTAGAAGAGCACTTCGGGAGGGGCTATATGGCTGATGCAACACGGGTTGAAGATGCTGACAAAATTCAAAGGCCAAATACCTCTACCACGCCTTCGCCGTCATCAGGCGTGACAAACAATTCTAATAATTCGTTGGCCCTCTCTCCTGTATCAGCGTCGATCCCAGCCTCAAGAACCAAGTCCTCCTCGGCAAAATTGAGACGAGCAAGTGCGATCTGATAACGTTGAGCACCCCCATGAGATGCAGCTAACTTCACAGCTATGTTAGCATGTGATGATGTTGCAGGGTCGGTTATGAGGGTATGTAGAAGAAGGGTGGTCGATGAGATAATTTTTAATACAAGGGACGTGGGATCCGGTTCTACTTGGGTGATGAGGGCGGGAAAGCCCCCCGTCTGCTGCTCGACTTGTTCTGCTGACCGTTCCTCATTGACTGTCTGGTCTTGCGTCTGTTCTGGGTCATCCGTCGTGACTTTCGGATGTTGTGCCTGTTTTGAATCATCTTCGGCTGTAGGATTTGCCATGATCAAGGGTATGGAAGATGAGCTATCTAAGTCGTATAGGGCATCGATCGCTCCAGAGAGCACCGCTACGAGCCGCGGGATTGCTACATCACTCGATGCCAGTTGGAAAGCGCCGAAGGGAGACTGTGCAAATGACATGAATGTCCTCAGAATGGCGAGCCTGGAGACGCACTGCTTGTGGCTGAAGGAAGCGGATGGCGTTTTGCCTTTGCCTCGGGAAGCAGCACTAGACATGTTCCAGCGTGGTGGATCATTCAGCTGATAGGACATTCTGTCAATGAGAGTTCTAGCGATCAGTGCTGCGTCCTGAGCCGAGTCACTGCTGATAGGTCCAATAGACTCCTCAAGACACGACGTGCACAAGAGACTGAGGATTCCTAGGAAATCTTCAGACGGTTGTTTAGGCGAGAGCATCATAAGGACGAAGTCGACTTGCACGAGCTTCCAGAACATTGTTTGCAAAGACCCTGAGGCAGTAGCACCATCTTCTTTCTCGCTGCTCTGAGGAGCCGTCATGCAACCTAGAGCAGACAGATAGAGCAGCTGCATGGCTCCTTCCACGTCAATGTCAAGATACAGCTGCCGCACTGCGGGATCCGAGTGGCTTGAGAGGTCCCCATCTAGGCTGTTGAACCTCGGCACTCCGACCAGGTAGATAGTCGCCTGTATTATAGGTACCAAGGTTGCTATAACACAGGGCGCCACGTAGACGGTGTTCAACTGGAGGATGAACGATACTAAGGCTGTGAGGTCAAAGATTGGCTCGTGATATTTCTCCGTGAGGCACTGTGACCAAAGATCTAGCACCAGTTCGCAAAAATCAACAAGAAGGCGCATTGGATCCTGGGGACTGCCTAGGAAGGGCAGCTTTTGGAAGATCATCGACGCAAGTGACTGCGATGGATTAGAGGGGAAGGAGTACCGCGCGAAGAGATCAAAAGTCAGGGGACGACCATGGAATGCGCTATGGTCGAGGGCAAGCTTGAGGAACTAAGAGGGATGTTACGTTAGCCTATGATATTGGGATTAGGGGGGAGGGGGCGCTTGTTGCTCACATCGTAGGGTAGTCCGCTGGACGACTGGTGAGCACCAACCTGGTCCAGCTGCGCCGTCGATGACTGGTCAGCCATCACCACATCATCCTCAGTTTCTAGAGCCATGACTGGACTGTCCACCATCGGGCGTTTTCTTTTTCCCTTTGTTGGCGTGCGCTCCGCTATGGGGGGTGCGACAGCTCCGCTCATGGTGCCCTTGCCTCTGCTTCTTGGGCCGCCTTGGGCTCTGCTAGGACTAGGCAGGATCTCAATATCGTCGAAGCCGTCTGCCACATTCCCCCAACCGGCGCTCTTGGCCTTCTTTGGTGTGGTCATGCCGTCGCCCTGGTTGCGGCCGCGCTTGGCCTTCTGAAGCTCCTCCTTCAGATCCTGTTTGGTAAAATGCAGCTCGGTAGCAGCATTCTTCTCGGCGGCCAAGGCTGCCTCGACCATACGCTCTTGCTTGGACAAGGCCTCGGCATTTTGCTTTTTCAGCCGGGCGACCTCGGCTGCGTGGGTGGTAACAGACTTGTCATATTTGGAGCGAACGATGGCCACCTCTCCCTTTGAGGAGGTAAGCTCGGCCTCGAGGGCATTGACGCGGGCCTGCAGGGCAGCTACCAAGTCGCCCTGGTTGTGCAGAGCCGTTTGAGAAGGCTGAGGCGGGGCCTGACCTGCTAGGTAGGTCGAGTGACGAGGAATCGGGGGGGGCGGAGGCGGAGGGGGCCGCATATGTTGTGAGTTGGTCGGGACTTGCCCATGACGGCCTCGAGGTTGTGGGAGATTGCCCGGAAGGCGTTGAGAAGGATAAGGTCCGCCAATGGCAGAGGGAGCAGGATGGGAGGGCGCTGGGTGCCGCGCGTGCGAGGAGAAGGATGCGGACGGCGGAGCAGGTCGAAGGGGATTCCATGCCGTTTGCCCTGGAGCGGGTCGAGGCCGCGAATGATGGGGATGTTGTTGCTGCGGAGTGTGAGATTTGTCGTTGGCTGTGCTGGCAGCCGGGTGCCGCAGAGGTAGCTGAGCGAGTTCGTCAATGACAACGGCATCATCTAGATCGTCGTCCTCGAAGTTGTAGTTATTATAGTCCGAGACGTCAGTCTGGAAAGGCTGCAGAGGGGCGGATGGTGGAGGGGCAGCAACGGCGGCGGGAGCGGGAGTTTGAGACGGGAACTGGGACTGGACAAGCTTTTGTGCCTGAGTGAAATGGATGGCATTGTTCTCGAGTTCCTGTAGGATGTTGTCGTTGAGGTCATCGAAGCCGTCGTCAGAGAAGTCGTCCATGATCATCATAGTCATCGTCGCCGTCGTTCGCTACCTTGGGGTCGCGTCGTTGTTGGTGGTCGCCATGGGAAAAGGCCGAGTTGCCGCATCAAAGCGCCAATCGAGTAGCCAAGGTAGCAAGCTGCTGCCTCGCAACAGAGGCTTAAGCACAGGCTCAGCTATCCGGCGGCGTGAGATGAGAATACCAAAAGGCCGAGCAAAGCACGAGTTTACTATGTATGAGAGCAGGCCATCCACGTGGGGATTGAAGCTACCTAGAAAAGGTCCGTATCGGGACTCGCGTCGATTGCTGGCCAGAAACCGCGTCTTGTTCGCAGGCAGTACTTAAAGTCCATGTCGTCTTACCTAAGCATCACTTCCAAGGGATCTACCCAAGGCACCTGTTAGGTTGGTCCACCTAACAACGTAGGAACTTTATAACATACATCGCCGGATCATTAATTGGACATGCCATTGACTGATGCATAGAATTCTCCTTAGCTTTGGCAAGATATTCCTTAGGGCATCTATAGCCAATTGTAAGTAAATACCTACGTATCTTACCTACGTGATCGACCACCAAGCACCACCATGTAGATACCCAAGCATGTGAAAGCGCTGGATCTGAGTATATTTGAAAGCGACAGACAAGCAAAGGCAGACCTCCGGACCGCCTATACTAGGTATTAACAGAAGACAAGGGGCGTTATGAGGTATCCCATGGACTGCCCCCACGTTTCTTTACCAACCTACCACGGGCACGACAATGTACATACACGTACCTATGGACCTTAGCGGAGAGTCCGGTCTACCTAGATACCCATTTACCTCCTCCGGAACACCCGGAGAACAAATGGTAGAATGATCGGATGTACACGTATGATGGGAAATGCAGAAGAACCTGGAATGAAAAGGATACCTTTGTTATATTAACATGGAGTAAGTTCAGTGATGATGATGATGACGATGCTTGCGAGTATTAGGTAAGCTCGGTAAAGTAAAGGTAGGTAGGGCAGCTTCGGGCAGCTGAGCCACGCCGGCGTGCCGAAGAAGTGAAAAGTGGAAGCGCGGAAAGTGGAAGGGAAGAGTAAGAGAAGAAGGTGCGAGGGAGGCGCCGAGCCACACTTTTGACGTAGGTAGGTGCTAGGGAGCTTTACTATCTTATGAGCTTCCAGGTTATTACCTATCTAGGTACCTTAGGTACCTTATCAATCTGATTGACACTTCCAAGGTTATTACACAGTCCTTGGGAGGGAGGGACAAAAATTCAGTTAGTGTAGAGGAATTGAATTAGGTGACCGAGTGGAGTGCAGCAATCAATCAATCAATCAATCAAATCTCCTCCACATCACAGACAGACATTCAACACACATTCATTCATTCATTCATCATCTTGCAGCATCTCCACCCTGCAGGCCTCTACCTGGCCTCGTTCCTCTCCCTCCGACCACGTATAGACCTCACCAACACACACAAGCATTAAACATACAACACCAGCCAAGCCACCTTCGCCCAATCATCTAGATCAGCTGTCGACCACCAGCTAGGACTAGGAAATTAATTACTCCTCGGGGACACTGAACCGAAGTCAACGACATCCGCCTCGGCGCCTCATCGTCAGAATCGACCGGTCTGTCTCTCTGTCTGTCGCCTCTTTCCGGCATTCCCGTCTGCTCTGCGCGCGCGCAATCTCTCCAGAACACGGACTCGACAGCAATGCCTGCAAAGAGCTCCTGATTCACCTGCACCTGCACCTGCACCGAACTGACCCGACCCGACGATCCCCGAATCGCATCGCATCACATCGTATCGCATTACACCTCCTCGCATCCAGCCAAAGCCTCGTCATCCTCGTCGCGCGACTGCTTCGATCCCTTCGTCTCCGACATTCCACCACCCCTCGATTCTCATCATGGCCAACGGGCGCAGAAACGTCAAGTTCTCCCATAGGGCCAGCAACGGCCACAAGGCCGATGGCCGTCGCTCCAGCTTCAGCGACGTCAGCGAGGACGGCTCGCCCACAAAGGCTAAGTCGTCCGCCGCCGCCGCTGCCATGGACCAGATCGAAGAGGTGTGTTGCCTTCTGCCTCTCAGTTACCTACAGAAACCCCCTCGGTCCTGAGCGGCCTGATATATTAACACTCACTGACGCGCGGGTTTCGACCATGCAGAAACCCACCCCCGAAGAACAGCGAGCCGAGTACGAGAAGAAGAAGCAGAACTTTATAACGCGGAGCATATGGACGTTCATCATGATCGGCGGGTTCTTTGCCGCCCTCTTCATGGGCCATCTCTACATCCTCGCCGTCATAACCATCATCCAGATCATCTCCTTCAAGGAGGTCATCGCCATCGCCAACGTCCCCAGCCGTGCACGCCAGCTGCGCTCCACAAAGAGCCTCAACTGGTACTGGCTCGCCTCCACCATGTACTTCCTCTACGGCGAGAGCGTCATCTACTACTTCAAGCATATCGTCCTCGTCGACAAGGTCCTGCTTCCTCTAGCCACCCACCACCGCTTCATCAGCTTCATCCTCTACATCATTGGTGCGTAACATCCCCATCCAGGCGATTCCCCTCGCTCCCCCCGTCGCCCTCGTCAGGCAAAGCGACTCTTTAATGCACTTGACAACTGCAACAGACGTCAATTTCTTGATTCATATTGACTGACCATGTCTCCTCGCAGGATTCGTTTTCTTTGTCGCTTCACTCCAGGCCGGCCACTACAAATTCCAGTTCACCCAGTTCGCTTGGACGCATATGGCCCTGTATCTCATTGTGGTCCAGGCCCATTTCATCATGAATAACGTCTTCGAGGGCATGATCTGGTTCTTCCTGCCCGCCGCTCTCGTCATTACCAATGATGTCTTTGCCTACATTGTCGGCATCACCTTCGGCCGCACTCAGCTCATCAAGCTCTCCCCTAAGAAGACCGTCGAAGGCTTCGTCGGCGCTTGGGTCATGACCGTCATATTTGGCTTCGGTCTGACGAACCTCTTGATGCGCAGTGGATACTTCATCTGTCCCGTCACCGACCTTGGCGCAAACATCTTTACCGGACTCGCCTGTGACCCCAACCCAGTCTTCCTCCCCCACACGTACACACTACCGGACCTGTTCTTCCTGCCGCCCAACACCACGCCGAGTCTCACCATCGAGCCCATGCAGCTACATACCTTCATCTTCGCCACGTTTGCCTCTCTCATTGCGCCCTTCGGCGGCTTCTTCGCTTCTGGTCTCAAGCGCACATTCAAGATCAAGGACTTCGGCCACTCCATCCCCGGTCACGGAGGTATGACGGATCGCATGGATTGTCAATTCATCATGGGCTTCTTTACGTACATGTATTATCACAGCTTCATCGCTGTCCACAAGCTCAATCTTGGTGGTGTCATGGAGATGGCCATCACCGGCTTGACTGTCGACGAGCAGGTCGAGCTTATTCGGGGAATGAGCAGATATTTGGGCAACCAAGGCCTAGTCGGAGAGGAGGTGAGTAACCCCTAACCACCCCCACCCCCAAAGTCACTTATAATGTGGCTCTATCATATCGCAGTGCTAACCTCCCTCAGCTCATGTCATGTCTTGATGCAGCCCTACCCGCCAAGAGGTGAGATGGGCATCTGTCTAATTATATGGGATTTGTGTGAGAAAATACAACAGGAGCAGGCTGATTCTGCTCCACATGGGGCAGTTATCTCTTGCTCACTTTAGAAGCATGAGCATCTCGCGTGGCGGGCAAATTCGTTTTGCCGGAAAACATCACATTGTGGCAATAGCCGAGCGAAAACATACATGGATGGTAATGGCATACCACGCCCTAATTTACATATCAGCAGATGGGAGATTGGGGGAAGGACGATGATATTGATGGATCAAACAAGGTGAAAAAGTCTGACTTGACTGATTGGTTTGGTATGATATACCCCCTCAGCCAGCGCTGTTTAGACGGCAACCAAGTGTCTATCCTCTCTCGTCGAGGGATCGCACTTGTAGTAACAATCCCTATTGTTCAAAAAGATGTCTGCTCATCTCAGTTTATGATAGACCATCTCGAAAGCTCCAAAGTTAAACTACTGTAAAGAGCCTCGATGTTTCTCACTAGCGGTCTACTATTGCTAGCTTAGCCTTCATCTTGGACACACAGGAGGCGATTCTGTGCCAATAGATACTTTAAACTCGGGTTGCTACTTGGTATTCGTATCGTAGAGAACCACTCAAGCAGTGAATGGGCTAAATATGGGGCGTCTATATCTACATGTTTCCGACCTAGTAAACTGGCACACAAATCACTGTTTCCAACGTTATTCTGGCTATCTCAAATATGATTTATCAGGATCCTGCTGCATTCATTTGGATGACGCAGTAGATCATCAAAGAGATTGTTCATCAAAGTACCCCTAGGTCCCCCAGGCGGCCACAAAGACATCCATTGTCTGAACCTTCTTGGTGCCTCCTACTGCATTGGTTGCCGCAATGGTCGCATCTCTTGCAGATTCCAGAATGATCTTGACTCTCTGACTTTCTATTCCTTGCTGGATTTCCTCGACGAAATCCGAGCTTACAACTGTGCCAACTTCCCAGCAGCCATCGAGCAGGCCAGGTGACGGAGTGAGCACCTTTTCATATTGCAGCTTCCACCCCGCTGCCTCGACCGCGCGTTTGACGCCATCAGGACTGAGGGGAGTTTGGATGTTTTGGGTACTTTGTGTCTTGTGGGCCTCGAGCGTCCCCCGAGCCAGGGCGGCAAGCACATGCGGCACAGCTGCCGCATGGCCCGCCTGAAGCGCATACTCGGCCAGGCATACTCTTGAAGCTATACCGTGCAGAGTGGACAAGATTCCCTTCAAGGTGTCCTCAGATTTGAAGTACCAGATACAATGGGCCAGGACGGCCACGTCCCAAGTGGCGGGGCTCGACTGCAGGAAGTCAACAGGCTCTGCTCGGTGCCATGTTACGCGATCTCCGACTTGGCTCTTCGAGATGTGGTCTTGGGCTTGTGCCAGGGTGAAAGGGGCACCATATTCGCCCGGGGCAGGATCAATAGCGTCGACGTGGCCGGCGGGACCGACCGCTTCAGCAAGCACGGCTGTGCAGTTGCCCTGGCCGCACCCAATCTCCAGCACTCGGCTACCAGGCTTGATGTTCCAGACATTGATCAGACGAATGCGATGCTCGGCCTGTGCGAGTTCGATCTCTGGGTGCTTAGAGTCTTGGATTGAATATGCGGCGATCTTGCCGGCCGCTGCGAGGGAAAGCACCGGCACTGTCTCTGCTGCCATGTCGAGTCGATTGGAGACTGAGACTTGTTTGACCCATCTGTGCTCCTGTGATCCTGTGATCCTGGGGACTTGGTGTTCTGAGTTGCACTGATCTGATCTTATAGAGATGTGAATTGTGTGAGTGACTCACTGCAGTGATTGGTTGCCGCCAAAAGAGGCAGGTCGGGGTTGGAGACGTCAGATTTGTCGCAGCTATTTCCGCAGGTTGGCGTGCTACTACGGTAGCTGTGTAATAAGCTTGGAAGTGATTCATCGATGCAGCCTCGCACATGCAGAATCAGAATAAGCTGGTGACTCAGATGCCAAGAGTCGGAATTATTGTCCATGGCCGCAAATCAGGACGAGTTCAGGAAGAGTTCACTCTCGGGTCATGGAAACGGAATTCCATTGGAAATTCAAGCGTCTCGTCTCCGAGGCAAGATTGTAGATTGTAGAGTCAGTCAGGCACATTGATTGATTGATGAGAGAGAGAGAGAGAGACCGAACTATACGCAGCCTCCTCCGCCGCTGCGTATTAAAGTCAGCACTGTTATGTATGTAGACGGGTGAAACTTGAAGAGTTGTAGTTCCAGATCAATGACCCCCCCTTGTCATGATGCCTCATGAGAGAAAGCAGCCTTGCCATTTGCCATTGTTGCCAGAGGACCAGCACGCAGAGGCTATTTTGACTTCCTCAAGACTACGCCATGCCATGCCATGCCCGAGGGCAGAAGAGACCAGGATCTTGGGTTGGTCGCTACCTACCTACATACACTGTAGTACCGGTATTGCACAGTACATGTATATGCAGTGTTATTGCAGATGCCAGGGCTCGGATTAGAGTGCTTACACCGGCTACCGAGCCTTGCCGGTGATGACAATTGGCGGAGGCAAGCGCCAATACAACGACTGACAAACAGTCAAAGAACGGGAATCTCTCTCTCTCTCTCTCTATCTATCTATCTACAGATATATATATGTATATCTGTAGATAGATAAGTTTGCGAGTCTTTTCCACCATCTTGTATGGATCATCTACCACCCACATCCCTGGAACCTGGAACCTGGAACCTGGAACCTGGAACCCTCTTACGTGTACGTAACACACCTACGCCCACCTTAACCCTCCCCTCCCCCTCGGAAACCAGCCTCTTTAAAGATCAAGATCAAGATCAAGATGGGCAAGTGCCGGCCGATCCGGTGCTGGGTCCAGGGTGTTCTACCTGTACTTACATAGTAGGCATTGCATATAGTGGTGAGGTATACTATGTAGTAGGTGAGTACTGCGGTATGTACTGGCTGGCTGGCTGGACTTGGTCGGATGAGCTTCCCTGAGAGTCGTTAGCGGGGGGGCGGGGGGGCCGGTTGTACACTGTAGTGGTCACACAGGTGGTCCTTGGTCACTGGTCCCCCGCGATTTCCGGGGGGGCAGATTCGTACCTTAGCCAAGCTAACGGACACCAGCGTCGCTAATGCTCCCCGTTTGGGGCAAGCCGAGGCGGAGGCGGGGGCCTACCGGGGCCTACCGGGGCCTACTATGCGGTATGCAGCATTCCTTCCTTTTCCCTTTCCCTTTCCCTTTCCCTTTCCCTACCGCGGGACGTCCAAGAATTGACAGTCAAACAGCCCGTCACATGTGATTCAAACCCAATAGGTAATTAGTACCTTGGCTACCACAGTACGGTACGGTACCTAATAAGGTCACTCACCAAGTGCCATGGTTGAGATGTGTACCTGTAGTTCTAAGTGGGCTGCTGGGTGTGAGCTAGACTCATGTATACCTTAAGCTTAAGGTTGGTAGGTACTAGTTCCCTTCTTGTTTCTGCCTCTCTTTTCTTCTCTTTTCCTCTCTTTTCTCCTCTCTCTTTCTCTCTCTCTTCACATTCAGTATTCAAATCGAATGTCCTTTCGGGGCTTGTGACCGGAGCAGAGCAAAGACGTGAGTCTGTCCGGCATAACATAACAAGATGCGCCCCCTCAGCCTCCTTAGCCTCCTCAGCCTCCTCGGCATATCGGCAGTGTCCTCCTCCCTTGCTGGCCTGGCTCTGGCTCAGGCTCAGGCACAAAATGCCACCGCAAACGCCACTTGCAATACCGGCATCCATATGATAGCTTCGAGAGGCAGCCTCGAGCCGGCCGGAGCGGGACTCATCGGCCTCGTCGCCAACAATGTCAGCGACAAGATCTCGGGATCGGTCGTCGTCCCGCTGGAATATCCCGCCACAATCTCAAACTACTCAACCTCCGAGGCCGCTGGCGTCGAGGCTCTGACAGACTTGCTCACTTCATACATTGCCCTGTGCCCGTCGGCCAAAATCGCCCTGCTGGGGTATTCTCAGGTACGATTCTGCGCAAGACTGGACTGGACTGGACTGCATCATGTGTGCCACTTATGGATTGATTCGCATTGACTCTTCTGTTTCCGTAGGGCGCCCAGGTCACCGCAGACACTCTCTGTGGCACGGATGATGGCAAGAACTTCAAGTTGACACCAGACCTGTCCAGTTCTTATGAAGACAACAGTGAGTTACACATGTCAACAAAGCTCGGCATAGGCCCAACCCAGATGATCACCTGCTAAACATGTCAAGTTATCGCCGTCGTGCTGTTTGGCGACCCTAGTCATGTCGTCGGGGCTGCATGGAACGAGGGCACAAGTACACGGAACGGGGTAAGAAGATGCTATTCTTTGCCATCGCCTGCATCCCACAAGGCTGGTGCTGACATGGCCACAGATCTTTCCGCGGCAGAATAACTCTGCTTGTGACCCGTATTCCAGCAAGATGCGCTCGTGGTGCGATACCGGCGACATCTACTGTGACAGTGGCAACAACACCAAGACGCACGGCACATACTTTGCCAATTACACGATGGATGCGGTCAACTTCATCATTGAGAAGTTCAACGAGACCCTGACCGGATCTGAGTCTGGATCTGGGTCCGGGTCTGGGTCCGGGTCCAATGGCACAGATGGCGGTGGCTCCTCTGGCGGTGGCAGTAACTCGACAGGCTCGGGAGACTCAAAGGCACCATCTGTGTCAGTGCCTGCCTTGCCAGTGCTTCTTGCTATTTTGGTCTCCATAGTAGGGCCAGGGGCTTTCATGTCGTAGCTGCAATATGCAATATAATGCGAGGGAATGTGAGGAGCGCCTCCACCACCTGCTCAACATCAGAACTCGCCCAGTGCCCCGTGAACAGCCTCAACGACAATCACATGGAGATTTGATACCGAGATAAACATCCTTTGTTATGACGGTTTTTCTATCATTACTGTATAAGGAAGTCAAATTCCCTGCACACCTAATCTGCTCGGCATCAAAGGGAGGTTGATCAACCAATCACTCCGAGACAAGGATGCTCCATACCGGCACGAAACTCGAGAGTTCACAAGGTATATCTCCCCTTGCGAGAGGAAGCACCCATCACTGCTTTGCTCAGCCATGTGCAGCCATGGGCCAAGGGTTTGTCCAATTTCTCACTGAACACCCAGATCTGAGACACCATCGAGCTCAACAATCCATTGTTCTTCTTTGATACTAGAGCATCGTAGGCTTTCAGCATGACAGCGCCCCTTTATCCCAGTGCATAGTTCAACTCGACACTAAACAAACAAGATATTGTTTCTCGTCACGGCTGAATACGCAGAGTACAAAGCCCACCCTAACAACAAGTCAAAGCGAGTGGCGTTTCTAGAAGTGAACCGTCAAAGGTCCCGAACTCAATCACATACCGCGTAAGGTGCACCTTTAAATCCTATACAGCTATCCTTCATCACATCAAGCTCACCTGAGCCTCAGTCAGTTCTGAAGATCGAGATTCAGGGGTGAGGCCCCTTATCATATCAACAATCGGCTTGACCATCCTCTCAAAAGCAACCGCCGCTCATCCAGCACCCATCTTTCATCACTCCGCTCCATCTTGCGCAGTCTAGGAGCGTACGCGTTTGGCCTGTCTTGCTATCTCAGTATTCCTTTCCAGCAAAGTTCTTTGGAACGTGAAGCGAAGCTCACAGCTAGCTCTGCTACCAAGCCGTTTCCTCTTCGTCTGTTGCGGAAATGGGCAAATCTGCCTCCTCGCAGCTCGCACCCCAGGGAGCGAGCGGCAGGCTGCTATCACAAGACGAGGATGACGCGAATCAAAACATTGTCGAGCCTCGCATCCTTATGAAGCAGCGCGGAAAAGGCTCCAAGAGAGGAAAGGAAGCACGAGACGTCTTGCAAAGCGCGTACACGGCCCTGTGGGAAATGGCAGAGGGCAGCTTTCTCAGCCCTAAGCAGCAAAAAGCGATTTGGCCGTATCTAACCTGGCCGCCCGTACCACAATGGCATATCCTTCAATTCGATGCTCAGCAAGACTGGAACTCCCTGGGATACACCGTGGAGCCGGATGACCACACAATCAAGCGAGCTCTTGCTGGGATCTTCCAACCCAAGCGTCGAGTCTACCCGGGCCAGCTCTACTACAAACACCTCCTCATTCCTATCTTCTTTCGCCACCAGGAAGATGGGTCAGATGTATGCATGTGGGGCATGATACATGTTCAAAAGGGCAAAAACGTCGCCTACTTTCATGTCTTTACCAAATGGCAGGAAGATATCCATGGTACGAACGTCAAAGCTTGGTCTAAGATCTTTGACCCTCAATCCCTGTTCGGAGGTCACCTCAGGGGATTCAACATGAAAATCGTCATCCAAGTCCATAATGGCGATCTCGATGCCCAGGCATTCAGGAAGCAGAACGATGTGGAGGAATGGAGTAAATGGACATTCTTTTACTCGATACATGTGGCTCGCCATCTGATGTTGCTCGGTGCTGCAGATGACCAAATCCCACACTTCGACGTCCAGAAGAACGGCCCGGAGGGTGTTGTACAACTTCTTGTCGGAATTCATACTGCATTCGAACATGCTGGCATTCAAGTAACGACAAAATGGCCTCCTAGCAAGCTGGAGGAGGACGAGGATAATGTGGTCTTTTATCGCAAAGTGTGCCAGGATATGCGCTACGCCTTTGAACCAGACGAGGTTGAGATGTCGCTGGTGTCAGAGAGCGACGGCACCAACGAAGACCTTGATGGAACGACCCTCATAGATGATCTTTCTCCAGACCGCGCTACATGCGATGAGACTGAAGATGATGAGATGATCTGATGGCGGAGAGCTCTTGCGAGATTCTGCTGTTACAAAAAGTGAGTGCTAGGAAAGCAGTACTGTGGAGCGGCCGGAGGACGATGGACAAAACGTGTGAAGACGTTGATGGCGAATTTCTGTACTATACACTCCACATCACGGATGATAGAACTTGGTCTGTCGGGTTGTTGAAACCTGCTTGTACCCATAATGGGTCTTTGAGCCCCAGAGGCTCTTTCAAATGTACACGGTCAAACACCCAGCATCACGTGGTCACTCAAGAGGATTTCTAGTTAAGTCGAGTCAGTGAAAGGTGATACGCGAATATATCTTTGCTTCCCCCAATTCATCATGCATAGGAGAAACGCCCTGTGATCAATCGAGGCCTACGAGCAAGTGTGCGCTTCGGAAACGGTAGACTTATTTTGTTCACATTCAAGATAATACATCGTGATATGACATAAATCTACTGCTCGCTCACAAACAAGCCAGCCATGCCTTGCCCCGTACCGATACACATACTCGTCAACAAGATCTTTTTGCCTGTTCTTCGGCACTCGCTTAAGCCGGTGACTATCTGCCTAGCACCAGTGGCACCAAGCGGGTGGCCAAGGGCAATGGCGCCTCCTCGGGGATTCATCTTGGCCCAGTCGAGCGCCAGTTTGTCACGACAGTAGACTGCCATGCTAGCGAAGGCCTCATTGACCTCCACGACGTCAATGTCGTCCAGCGAGAGGTTGTATTGTCCGAGAAGCTTGGGGATGGCGATCGATGGCCCGATACCCATGATTCGGGGTGCAAGGCCAGCCACGGTTGAGCCGACATATTTGGCCACGATAGGTTGGCCGAGCTTGATGGCTGTTGATCGCTTCATAAGCAGGACGGCGGCAGCTAAAGATGGTCAGCACTCATGCTCCAAGAGAACTTCCCGGCAGATCTGGTGGAAACATACCTCCATCAGTAACTTGGCTGGCATTGCCACCAGTGGTCGTCGTACCCCACTGGGGAAACGCTGCCCTGATTTTGCCCAGGCCCTCGGCCGTCGTTCCTGGTCGGATGCCCTCGTCCTTGGTCAGCACGACCTCCTTCCACTCTCCGTCCGGGCCCTTGACTCTCGTCTTGATCGGCACAATCTCGTCATCGAACAAGCCGGCATTCTGGGCACTCTCGGCTCGTCGGAAGCTCTCAGCGGCGTATTTGTCCATTTCTTCTCTTGAGATGCCAAAGTCTCGGCTGACATTCTCACTTGTCCATCCCATGGCCTCCATGCAGTCCCGAGACTCTTGACTGTGCTTTGTCACCTCCTCATCGAATGGCTGGTCAAGGCGATCTCCACCAACTGTCATGGACTCTGCGCCAATCGCAATGCCGACCTCGATCGAGCCATTTGAAATCTGGTGGGCAATGTCGGCGGTGGCCTTGAGGCCTGACGAGCAGAAACGATTCACGGAGGAGGCGCCCGCAGTATTGGGGAAGCCGGCGGACAGGGCAGCAGCGCGGAGCTTGTAGGCTGCTTTGCCATCGGAAACCTGTAATTACAGTCTTGGTCAGCAACATATCGAGCAACAACCGGGTGTTGCAACGTACGTTTCCAAGGCAGATATCCTCAACCAGCGCAGGATCTATGCCACAGCGCTCCTTGACCTCCTTCAAGAGGGCGTACACCAAGTATTCGAGACTCGTGTCCTTGAAGCCTCCCTTCTTGGCTTTCGCAAGCGGCGTACGGATGGCTAGCGTGATGACAATGTCGTCGGCGTTCTTAGCGGTTCTAGACAAGCCGTGTCAGCAATCATCGGAGAAGCATCGAGGGTGACGATCTCGCATTATGTGTGTTGTTTGAACCTCTACCAGATCTCGTACAGACTAAGACAAACAAGATGCTAGCGAGACTGCGCGCGAGCAAGTCGGGAGCGAGAAGGGCGCATTCTAGCTGCTTACATGGAATTGACAGCCCCTCCGGGGGTGAGATGTTTGAGGATGGAGCCCAGTCTTTCTACAGCCATCTTGACGGTGGGATCGACGCAAAGTCTTGGTTGAAGAGGGGATGATCAGGAAAGCCTACTCCAGCTGGATGTCCACGACTGGATCTTTAAGGATTGAGGTCATCCGGGAGCAAGTAATTGCCCCGACGCCTATATTCGGCCATCGAAAGCTTGTGGGGGCGACGATTGCCGAGGCACGAGGCAATGGGCTGGCAATGCCGGGCTAATGTGGCGGCATATCCAACCACCACAGTACTCCTGTCTACTCTAGTCAATTGCGGAGGAACCGATGAGTGATAGGTTCCGCCCCGGCTTATCTGTATAGACTGTACAGTACCTAAGCAGCAGCACTAGACTAATACTTAATGAGACCTTTGACCACAGCACATCAATGCGGGGAGCAGACCACTTCGCTGGATTGGTGGAGTTTGGCCACGTTAGAGAATTAACAGCTTTCCGCACTCAGGCCACTGATTGAGGATGTGGAGCAGCATAATAGCTTAACAGTAGGAGACGCTTGCCGAAAACCGTTGAGCGCGGTGGTCACTTCATCCTCCGCCCGGTGTCCGCTAATGTGGTAGGGTCAGATCTCGCCCTCCTATTTCTAGATCGCGGCGATTGATTTCTCAGTGGATGGCACAGTAGAAACTGACTTGTGAGGGTTGCATGTCAAATGTGAAAAGCTAATAGGGGGAAGGCCGAGATATTGGTAACCAGCGATTGTTTTCCATTTGTAGAATGCAAGACCAATACAATCAGTTGATCTGGTCGACACCCATACTTCGTCCTAATTTACTAGTAATTGCACGGGTTCTAGAGCCTTGGAGGCAGGTTGAAAGTATCGTCAACATCGCTCTAAAGCAATTGCGACAACTGAACATGGTACAGTCAATTGAGACTTCGGCAATGATTCCTCCATTTATCAGGCATCGCGTTCACAAACAAAACGCATCTTTGATGCTGCAATGGCGGTTCGTCCTATTGCGTATGGAATGGTTTCTTCGTAGAGAACGAAGGGTACGTTTGCACTGGTCTCACTTTACAACACTCGAAGGCGAGGCTGCGAGCATCCCACATCCCACATCACAAATTGTATCCAACAGACAGCACAGAGGTGTTGCAGTACGCTAGGCTCGCGCATTCAACTTCGGAGGATAGGACAGGCATCTCTTCTTGATTTACAAGGGCATGCTGGTGTGCGTACGTCTCCGACACTTGAGTTAAGCCGGAAGCTGTTTCCAGTTCGAAGCCCAGCCGTCGTTATTTATTCTCGAGAGAACCAAAGTTGACTTGTCAGCTGGAGCATAGCGCGCATTTGCAAGGCGACCATATTAGATTGATGTTCGTTGTGTTTCTGTTTTGGCGATCAGTGACCAACCAGCCAACCTGCTGCAGTTTATTATTTGCAGAGACGGAATCCGATCGCCAATAAGATAAAAGTCGAGATTCGAGGGAAGTAATGCCGTGTTCTGCTATGTGTAAAATGGAAATAGAGTTCTGACTGCCCCTCTCAGGGGGGGATTAGGCCAGCCCAGTGATTATTGAGATTGAGAGTGAGAATCTGGACTCGCAAGCCAGAGCACAGCGCAGCAGATTGTGCTTCGAGAAGGCGGCGGATAGCATTACCTTGATTATCGCAGATCCCTGTCGTGGAGGGTACGAAAAGGATGCCGGATGGCTGCTGAAAAGGAGATTGCGTGGCGGCTCTTCAGCTCTCCTGCAGACTAACACTGTCTAACCGGCCGCAAGTGGATGGTGCCGAGCGACGCGAGCCTCCCACCGTTGCGCCTTATCGCAGTTCTGCATCGGTCTAGCAGGACACTATTTGACTTAGACCGAGCGGCGACCCTCCATCAGCATGTCATGGACTCTTTGGGGCCTTGGTTTAGGGCAGACGGCTCCAAGATCCGCGCGTGGACTTGGAAATTGCCCGAGACACGGCTCACCCGGATCCTCCCAGAGCCCTGGATCCTTTTTCTCAGAAATACGAGCCGCGCCAACGTGCGTGTGAGTGCTGAGCAGAGAGACAAGGACCTTCTTGTCTTTACGTCTCTTCTGCTGCCGCCACTTGATTGTGATTTGATTTCCAATTCCTCCTTCTCTGGCGATAGTCATTCGTTTAAGTCCACCACGACGCCCATTGCCAGCTTGTGCAGAGGAGCCAGCGCAAGTTGCCGTCGGAGCAGGATAATCAGTCATTGATCATTTGCGGCCAAGCTGAAGAGACTGCAGGCTGCATGGGGGCAACAAAATCATCGCGCCTCACTCTCGTTTAGACTCGTCCACGGCAGATTCGCACCAACAGCGCACGCACGCGAGCCGCCTTTTGTTTCTTACTCTCCTTGACATCTCCTTTACCATTATATCTCAGTAATTGACGTAGACGGCGGCTCTCCGTCGCGTTCCAACAGGCAAGATGCGCTCCCCGCTTCTGCCAGTCGCCATTGTCGCTACGACCCTCGCCATCCTCCCCGCTGCTTCAGCAGACTCCTCCTCGAAACGCGGCCTTTGCTTCGTTCCGAATGCGAAATGGCCACAGGACAATTACATCTGGACGCGTAGCCCCTCGGATTTAACATGGTACTACAACTACGGCCCGTCGCCGTCGCCGGTTTACAACAACTTGACGCAACAAGACTTCGAGTTTGTTCCTATGCTTTGGGGCGCGCCGAGCGACGTCAATGATACGACCTTTCTCACGACGGTAAAGAACCTGGTAGACCAAGGCACCAACATTACAAACGTCTTGACTTTCAACGAGCCCGATATGGCTACCTCCGGAGGGAGCAGCGTTGACCCCTCGTTCGGCGCCCAGGTCTGGGTGAACAATATCATCCCGTTGCAAGAAATGGGCATTCGCGTTGGGCTACCTGCACCGACTGGTGGTTGGGGTGGTCTGCCTTGGCTCCGACAGTTCTTGGGCAATTGCTCCGAACTCATCAGCGACGGCCAGAAGACCAAGAAGAACTGCACCTACGACTTTGTGGGGGTCCACTGGTACGGAAATTTTGAGGGATTGGCGAGCCATCTTGGGGAGTATGCTGCGGCGTAAGTTCTCCCTTCTCATACTGTCTTGATTATCTTGTAGCTATGGCTATCTTGACCTTGCCAGCTATGGTAACTAACAATACGATCCGATAGATTCCCGAACACAAGCATGTGGGTCACCGAGTACAACATGGATAACCAAGCGCTCGAGTACACGCAGTGGTTCTACAATGCATCAGCCGACTATATGGACAAGCTCGATTACGTTGAGCGGTACTCGCTTTTCGGTGCTTTCCGCTCCTCTGTCTCAAACGTTGGCCCCAACGCTACCATGCTCAGCGCAGGAGGCCAGCTCACAGATATTGGAGCATGGTATTTGGGGGAACAGGCAACCGGCGTCAAGCCCACAGACAAGTCTCCAGCCCCGAGGCTTTCAATACCCTTGTGGTCATTGCTGGCGGCGCTGTTGGCTATAGTAATTATGGTCGTTTCATAACGGCCGGATGGTTATTGGGATACATGGACAGATGGCGTTTTATTGGGTTCATGACGAGTTTATAAGGCATTGTAATTCCTCTATGGACGACGGCTTTGGTTTTCGGCTGCTAGGGAGATCTCTTCCGAAGAAGAGAGTTTGGCCTGCAAGGCAGCGGGCCGACAACGATAATTAATTACTGCCTGGCATGTCGACACATGCATGTACATCTGACGTCTGTCTTATATATAGACTCCCTAAGTCAGGATCGTTATTCAACAGGGAACCAGACATTTACGATAGACTTTGGGATAGACTTGAATAATGATAACGGGCATCTGGATTACTGATAAATTGCCTCTGAGGGGTTCTGCACCTCGGCCAATCCTGTCTGCTTTTGATCGATGGGACGTAACTCTCTTACCAAGGCGACCTGGACGGCGTAATTTTGGCACCCAGAGGTTCATAAAGATTTAAATGTGATATAGTTGACTCTATCACATACTTCAGACTCGAATACCATTGATTCATTTATGTGTTGTCGCGAGCCATGTCACATAGACAACGTCAATCTGTTGCCTGGTCAATCGCTAGACCAGGCACAGGCTTCTGAACCATGCTTTCTAGATATAATGATCTATTTCTCAGAGTATAGATCCTCAATTGGATTGTGTCATCGACTCTGCAGTCAACGAGTACCTCTCCGACTATCTTCTATACACGGGTTTTCATGGATTCCAGCGCTTCGACCCATAGGTCATGCTTCACGAAGGCGAGGCAAAAAGGCCTTGGCCAAACTCGCATCATTTTCACGCCGCGCTTTGGCTTTACTACGCCTCTTCACAAACCGCCACCCCGAACTCCTGCTCCAAACGTTATCAAGCGGACGACACACATACCCTTCTTTTCGACATCAGATCGCAGTCAGACGTCCTTTTTTCGATTGCCTTATGAAATACGCTTACAAATCTACCGCTACCTTCTATCCGGTGTTGATGTTGAGTATCGAATCTGTATGACTACTAGCCGACTACTTCTCTACGACCATAACACCCGTGGCCACTACCCTTTCTTACAACATAGGCTCTATCCAGCAATCCTGGAATGTTGTCAAATGTGCAATGAAGAAGGTGCTCCCTTTCTTTACGGAGAGAATGCGTTCACGACTGCATGGTGTCGGGGAAGGCCGAATCATGGAGGCTGGCGTGTGTTGAATTCTTGGCCCACCTCTAGGAGAAGTCTGTGCCGTATCTCTAAGCTTGCGTTTTCTATATATCAGGAGCCGACACAGAGCGAGGATAGTTTTGCTCTAAGTCAGAAGAGCACTTTATTTCCCAACCTCAAACACATCAAGTTAGACATCCGACTTTCGGTATTACAGTGGGAGGCATTCCTTGACCTGCATGCAGATCTCTTAAAGACTCTTCAAAAAATCGAGTTCCGAGTAACTGTTGACATGAAAGAGGCCAGAGAACCAAATGAAGATTTCCAGTCAGCCGAGGGGCGGCTTGTCAGAGACGAATATGATTGTCGATGGGAAGTTCGTAATGCTGATGTTATGAGTTTACAGCTATATGAGCCAGCCTTACAAAAACATGGACGGCTGGGTAAGAAGATAGAAAAGGAGTTTCGTGACTTGAGTTCCTCTTATGGATTACACTGGATTATAAACTTCAATCTTTGGTAATTCTTGGACTACGCTTTCTGGAGCAGAGTTTCAAGGATTTTATATACAAACTGTAGTATAACATTGACGATTCAAACGACCACAAATAAGGCTCGATTACAAACACCCCGTAATGTATATTTCCGAATGATTATATGTGTGCAACGTCCTGAAGCGAAGCTCCTGGGAGATCGAGTTTCTCGAACTAGTCAACGATGTCAGCTTGTAGGAATTCTGACTTCTAAAGTTGGCTATGGTTTAGATAGAACCATGACTAGTATATTGTTTCTTCCTGTAGAAAGAGAAGAGAGGTCTCATTCCATGCAGAGAGGACAGACAAGAAAGGTTGATCCAATTTAACAGCATCTTGATCACGACTTGAGAATCTGCAAGATAGACGGTCATGAAACGAGTACCCGGTCTCGAAGGCGGTCCATTTAGTTCTTTCCCCAAGCCATGAGCAAATACAAGAATCTCCATGACTGCGGATCTGACCAGTGATAGCGACAATACCTAAAGATAACCTTCTCCCTACCACAAGCTATTCCAGAACAAGCGGTTCAGGTCTGCGGAAAGACCAATCCGACAGATACTACTCGACCAGCTTCCCAGACACAACTTTGACAGTGTCCAAAACTGCTGAAGAGTAGATTTTCCGCACTTGTGAGTCTTTCGGAGATGAACTCGAAGCGATTGTTTGCTCATGAAGAGCTTGATCTCACACACTGGACACTCCAGCTTGATACGTCCCACGACAAAAGTATTTGCAGCCCCCCGTAGAAGAACCGGGCGGGGGACAGCGGGTGTAGGGGCCTCGATATTACTGCCGGCACGACCATCACCTGCATTGTCAAACATGTCACTGTCCTTCTCCCACTCTTGCATTTTGGCAAGAGAAGCTGGGCCAGTGAGAGTCTGCACCGTCGACGGAGGCCCCTTTGACTCTTATACACATGTTGTCTGTTGCAGCCCGTAATCCTGCACTTCATCTCGAACGCGTTCCAATGAGTCCTGTCAATGTGCAGACGGAGATCTTCCAGGCTCGTGAATGTGCTGGTGCACCCTTCTTCATTACTCTTCCAAGGTCGAGCAGAATCGGGATGCACCAAAAGATACTCCAGCACGGCTTTCTGCCCCCAGATGGATGCGCCAGGCCTGTATGCGAATACTCCTTCCACATGACGAGTGAAAGAGGACTGAATTTTGAATCCCTTGTCGCATCCTCGATTTGGACACTTGGGTTCAAGACGGCTGGGCGGGTTTTTGGATGTCTGCCGATCGGGATCAACATCGGGAAGCTCAGCGTCCTCCTTACGCTGAGAAGTAAAGAGGACGCTGAGAAAAGGACATCTCGTTTAGCTGGCAGAAAAAGTTGGCAAATTTGTCGACACTGCCCATTAGAATTCGCAGAGGATCATCATCATCGAGTATTGCTGCCTCATCAAACTCGAAGTCGACCATGTCGATCATCTCCAGTCTCTCTGATGTGAGGTCAAGCGTGAAGGACTGGGCCTCGTCCAAGATCTCCTAAGTCCTTGTCTCGCGACTAAGCCTGGGACCTCATCTCTTCGGGGCGACCAGCTCTCCGACAGACTCTGCTGGATTGATGTCTGGGGACAAGCCCTCAGCTGGTCGCACCTGATCGGACTGCCATTTCTCTCTTTTCGACTTCTTGAGCGAATTTTCTCCCTTGATGCGATACTTCTTGTTTTGAGGATCAAGACCCAAGGCCACTGTCTCCTCGACGAGTGCTGACGTCTTCTGTCGTTTGCGGCGATGGAATGGCTCAAGACCATTGGCTGGGCCGAACTTAATTTTTTCAGCAAGCTGCTCGGCCTTGTTCATTCGCGCTTGATAATGGTCGAAAAGCTCCTCGGGGCCGACATACTTCTAGGTCACGCCCATCGCCCGCGAAATGATCGCTGTGGCCCAGGACGTTTTGCGCGAGGTGCAAGTCCAGGTACTCGGCGCTTGGGCGCTTGTCAACGTGCGCGACGTCGACAGCAGCTCCTCTCCGAGTTTCATGAGCAACTAGCTTGACGAGCAGGCGAATGAGGTCAGGAGCTTTTCGGAGTGCTGCATTCATCTGGTGCGCCGATCCTAGACGCTCCATGTTTAGTTGACCAGTGTTGCGGACGAACTGGCCAAGAACAAGCTGCTGCGGATTGTCCCAGTCGACCCCTACGAGTGCGAAGCCGGGACACGATGAAGAAACTGCTTGAATGATTTGACACTGATCAGCGCTCTTATGCGCAAGGCTTGAACAACGAACAGCCTCATCAGGCAGGCAGGTGCACATTTGTCATCCAGTGAGTAGAAGGTGGTGACAGTATCGCCTTCACTATTATGTCTGGGCAGAAGAACTTGTCAGCGGTCTACTCGGAAATGTGGAATTCAGATGAGAAAATGCTCACCTGCGTTCCTTGGTGAACCGCAGAACCACCTGCCCGACAAGGGCTTCGCGGCCGTCCTGGGTTTCCATTTTGATGGTAACATCACGCCAGGAGATAGACTCGAGCTTGTCCGGGTCCGCAGCCGTGCTTTGGAGGATGTCTCCTGCGCGGCCTGCAGTCGCACACGTTGTTCATGTTCAGGATCATGAGCAAACAAGCTGGTGTCTCTGCAGTTGAGTTGGTCATGAGCTGCTTCTTGTCGGGGACGGGAGCTTCTTCCATCAGCCGCTGTGCTGTTCGTTGGTGGCTATTACTCTGAGGGAAGGAGGTACCTGGGTAAGCAACGGTGGTGAATACCTGGGACAAACATCACATCTCGAGGTACCTGCCTCCCTCAGAGTAATAACTCTACCCAGGCAGGTACTCAACATTTGTCGATGGAAGGTGCAATTGCAGTCGCTGCCGTCCGTAGGGTCGCGATTACCTAATGGGGAGGAATGCCGAGGCGAAGACACTAACATATTAGCGTGTGCTTTCCACGAAGACGAGTTAGGTAGATTGGAGTGTGCTCCGCTGATAAAGAACTCGAGGGGCTCTTCCCCACGAAAGCTGCACTTGCTGCACTAGGACTCCCTGAAACTAACTCCCTGGAAAAGACGACGAGCGCCATCCAGCGTGTCGAGGCTCCAACAAGACGTGGAGGGCCGGCAACAGCCTGATTGATCATCGATCACTGCCCAGCATGGCATAATGCCTTCTGAATCGTCAGGTACAAATCATCACTCCTCTGACTCTGACTCTGATGGAACGCAATGGCTGGGACTGTGAGTCCAGACAGAGACAGAGCCAAAGCCGGCACCGGTAAGAACAAATGACTACCGATGTACCACGTTTGATCGTCTCATCGTTGTCGTTGTCGTTGTCGTTGTCGCCATGCTCACTACAATGCACAGCTTGCTTCGTCTGCCGGTCTCGCAAGGTGAGGTGTGACAGAACGCCTCTCCAGTGCCAGAACTGCAACCGCCTCGGGGTGCGATGCCCTGGTTATGACTCCGCTCAAGTCTCCGTGATAGATCTAAGACGATCTGTCGATGGCGTCTATAGGGCCTCCGGCATCCAGAAAAGACGCATCGGCTCCTGCGATGAGTGCCGCCGTGCGAAGCGCAAATGCTCACAGGCCCACCCCGCATGCAGAAGATGCACACAACTGTCCTTGACATGTGTCTACCCATCGAGAAGAGACGAAAGGCAGTCTGAGGTACCACTGTCATCTCTGTCAGCTCCCTCTGAAGTCGCTACGGCACCATCACAAGAACCTCCTTTGAGTACTGCTGATACGGATCATGGCTGGTAAATGCGGTCCCTTTCCTGCTCTTGCTCATGGCGACGATGTATTGATCAAAAAAGGATGTACGAAGACACACTCCCAGGCATTGGGGAGCGCCAAAGAATGCTGGTGGACATATACTTTGATCGCGTCCATCCCCTCCGTTGCTTGGGCTTCATTCACAAGCCATCATTTATGCTTGCCTTTGATAGAGGCGTGGCAATGGAGGAATTCGGCAGACCTCTGGTCCACATCATCTGTGCCCTTGGGGCTTTGTAAGGGAATTCCCCTGTCATCTAGGCCTCATGTATGCTGAATGGTACCCCAAGGTTCTACTATCAAGACCATTTTGACCAGGTCTTTTCTGATTCTACATCGGTGCCAGGGGCTGCATGGGCAGAGAAGGCAAAGGATGACATGCTCAAAGACATAGGAAGCCCATCGACCCAGAATTTAATGGTAAGCCAACGCCATACTTCTGTGAAATGCTGCCGTCTAATTTATGGGGCTCACCTTTTCTTAGGCCATGGTTCTGGTTTGCGAATATGCCATGCGAACAGGCCAGCATGCCTTAGCATTCATGCTTACCGCCTCCTGCTACCGAATGGTGCGATTGCTGGGTCTTGACTCCGAAGCAAGATACACCGACTTGAGAACCCCGAGGAACGCCACTCAGGCGGAGTCAGAGTGTCGCCTTCTGTGGTCCTGTTACACACTTGACAGCTTCATCGGATCTGGTGTTGATGGAAACCTGCATTGGAAGGAAGATGCACCGCACATGCCAATGCCATGCTCAGAAAGCGATTTTGTCTCTCAAATTCGCCGTCCTGCTAAGACCAAACTTTACATGATCAACATTGTTCCAGACTCCAATTACCCCAGCCTCGCCGATCTGCGATCCAACATAATCGTGTTGGCTCGGTTCCGCACCCGGGTTCTGAGGTTAGCACAGCCATAAAGTTCAGATTGTTTAAAGGCCTGTTCGGTAACTGATCTTTGCAGACTTATTCGCCAATCTGAATTGCCAGGGCAGGTATGGCACGCCCAATCGCCGTTTCTCATTCTCATTCGAGAACTTCAACTCTGGTATAGCTCATTGCCAGAAACCTTGCTTCTCAGTAGCATCAATTCATACGTTCAAAAGGAGATGAATATGCTTGGTGCGGTATATTTCCTCCATTGTACCTACAATCAAACGGTTGCGGACTTGACAAGAGTTTCCCTTCCCGGATTTGATTTCCCCTTGGCATCTGCCTTTCGCATAGCACCTGAGTCTTTCCGCAGACAATGTCAAGATAGGTGCCGCTACCACGCTGATGAGGTCTCGAGCCTCGTGCTGAGCGGCTTTCGTGCTGGAGTGCGTGCATTCGATGACTCACATATTACAATGGCAGCATTCGAGTCGACCAAGATCCAAATTGTCCATACGACGACCGCCACGCCAAATAGTGCAAGAGACAAACAAAAGGCGTATGGAAACATCATGGCAAATATGCGACTATTGAGTTGCATGCACTTTGATAAGCGAAAACCAAACCATTATGTAGGTGCTGGCCTCTCACGCAGTCACCAAGGCTAACATTCAAGACAGATTCGAGCTCTCATGCCACTCCTTGCGAAGTTTGGGTTTCATAAGATTGCGTCTGAGTGGCGTGAGGCAGCAATGTACGTTGCGGCGGCCTGGTCCCTTTAATCAGTACATGGCTAACACACCTCATCAGTGTTGCTCAAGACGAAGCTCCTGAGGTCACCGGTCCTGCGGATTCTAACTACCTTAGCAACCTGCATAGTTTTCGCCTAGCCAGAACAGAAGTCCAAGCCGCTCAAGGAACAGTCCGCCGTCTGCAGGCCATGCAAAATTACGCAGATGATAGGGATCCCGAGTTAGCAATCCACCAGCCTCCGACAATCGCTTCTGATCATGACGTAACGGTTTCTTCGGGGCTATTGCCAGACCAGCAATCAGACGTGCTCCAGGCACCAGACTTCTCACTCTACACAGACACCGCAGCATCTAATGATCCTGTATCCGCATTGGACCCTGCTGTTGAGGAATATATCAGGCTGGCCGACGAGATGTCGAATTATTTTACCTGGGATGCTTCAGAATACCCTGCAATGAGTTACATGGAGCCATATGACTCGTATCTGTAGGGTAACCGAGCGAATCATTCCATAGAGTCTCATAGGGCTGAATTTACTTTTATGTGACAAACATATCTAAGTTGGTCTATAGAGCTGAGTAACTACACACTATGACGGTACGACATCTCGAAGATACTTCGGAGTTTTATCCGGTCGACCTATATACTTAATCCACGCGTATGGGTCTTCAAATTCATCCTTCAGTGAGGTCTCCTTATTGCCTTGAATTACTCGTTCGTATTCACCCGCCAGACCCACGACTCCGACCTCTTTTCGATATTCATCCCAGAGATGCAGCATATCCTCCAGCACTTGCGGCTCGGTCTGACTAAGATCTGTTGTCTCTCCTGGGTCATCTGCAATGTTGAACAGCTCCCATCGTTGCGGTCCACGTGGCGCAGGCACAAATGTGATCTTCCAGTCTCCTCGGCGTAAGGCACCTGACCCAGCAATTTCGAAGCCAGCCACGTAATCTTGACCGTGAATCGCTGTCTTTCTGGTGGAGCACCCTGATGATTGACTGACTAATGAGAGGAAGTCCTTCCAACTTCGCCCTCGTAGTGGTGCAATCTCGCGGCCTTTATAGCTCGTTCCAGGGTGTTTCAATCCTGCCAAATCTAGAACCGTTGGTACCAAGTCCATGACAGTACAGAATGCATCTGTAATGACTCCTCCATCTTGAGTTTCCAGGGTGGTTCCATTACCTTGTTCTTTTTGCTCCAGATCAGGTCCCTTTGGAGGCTTCACCACCAAGGGAACACGGCATCCCCCTTCCGTAGAAAACATCTTGTAAAGTCTTGATGGTGCTGTAGCAGCTTGAGCCCATCGGCAACCATACCAGACGAAAGAGTTGCCTCGGCCAATGTTGTCAAGACTATTGTCATAGTATTTGGAAATGTGTTCTAATATGCTATCCCCCACCAGAGGCAATGCTTCATATGAGGCGCCCTCAGCGCCGTTATCCGACATGAACAGCACGAATGTGTTATCATATTCTCCTGATGATTTCAGGTAGTCTAACACACGGCCAATATTCCAATCCATTCGATCGACCATTCCGGCGTATACTTCCATGGCACGGGCAGACTTCTCCCTTACATCGCTGCTCAGAGTTTCCCATTCTTCAGGTTCTCCTGGAGCTGCGACAACTGGATGCGGGTTCACGGCGGGGTCGACAAGGCCCAACTCTTTCAAGTGCTCTACCCGTCTCGCTCGAAGGACATCTGGCCCGTCGTTGTAAATACCCTT